CACCTTCGCCACGCCGCTGCGAAGTTCCGAAAACAGTCAGGTCGGCGCAGGTCTCCACGGGAGCCACTGAAGTGCCAGCAGAGCCCCCCGCGCACTGACCTGACCAGTGAGCCGTAGGATTGCCGCTTCAGGGCCAGAGTCTTGGGGGCGAGGACCATCGAGGAACATCCTCGATCACTTTGCCCCCCCCTCCCCCCCCCCAAAAAAAAAAATGCGAAACCGAAAAATGCACGAGGAACGGACGTCCGGGATCGATGCCAGGTAGTCAGTCAGGTCGGTGTTCGGGCCTCCCAGGCATCACCTGGCGGGCCCGAGCGCTGACCAGACCCTCTGCTTGATCCCGTGCCTGGGCGGGTTTGCGCGGGGCACCTCGGCCAGGAAGGGCGCATCTGTCGGGGCACCCGGATGTGTTTCGTATACGCGTGGCCGGTCTGAGTTAGAGGCATTCAGAAGCCAGGCGAAGGCTGGCAAACCCGCGGCTGCTAAAGCGGATCTCCGGGACCTTTTTGTTTTCTGCCGGGAAGCAGCCCGTTTACTATTTTGTGCGCTGGGTCTTATTCCGGCAGTGTCTTTCTTCCGGGAAGACCGTTTTAGCAGCCACGAATTTGCCAGCCTTCGCCCAGCTTCCGAGGCATGCAGGAGCTCCGAGTGCCGTTCTCGCATGGCGCGGCGCGCCACACCTCAACCTCCTCGCTCGCCCACACTCCCGCGCGCGCGGCGCCACGAAGGGCTCGCAGCAGCGGGGAGGCACGAAGGGGGTCTCAGGGGGACAAGAGGGGAGGGGGGAGAGGGGGGCCTCAGGGCAGGAGAGGCAAAGGCAGGGGGAGGAGGGATGGGACGGATGAGCCGAGGGAGGGTCGGCGCGCGTGCGCCAAGAGGGCCCGCGACCGCGGCCGCCCAAGAGAAGTCCAGCCCGGCTGCGCCCAGGAAGCCGCGCGTGGCCCTCGCCAGAGGCCAGAAGGAAGAGAGAGTCCCCGCATTTTGCACTTGCGGAAGAATGGTCGAACCAGCTTGCGGTAGCTGAGCCATCGCCAGCTGCCCTGGACGACGACGACGGCGACGCCGCCGCCGCCGACGATGACGACGACGACGCCCACGACGATGACGACTGCGAGCGCCACAACACGTTTGTGAGCACAAATGCGTGCCGTTAAGAAGACCATGCCATGCTTGTGAGCACAGCGCCAGACGAGCGGGAGGTCCGCTCCCAGCATGTAGGGGAGGCTGGCAGGCTCCCCCACCCACCAGCATGTAGGGAGGGGGGAGGAGGGAGGAGGGAGGGAGGGAGGGAGGGAGGGAGGGAGGGAGGGAGGGGAGGGAGGGAGGAGGGAGAGGAGGGAGGAGGAGGGAGGAGTTGGAGGAGGAGGAGGAGGAAGAGGAGTTGGAGGAGGAGGAGGAGGAAGAGGAGGAGGAGGAGGAGGAGGAGGAGGGAGGAGAAGGAAGCGGCCAGCAGGACGACGCCGAATGTCCTCTCTGCGGGCAAGAGCACGGAGATGATTTACACAAATTTTGGACGTGTCCTGAATTGGGACGTCTCAACATCCCCGCCATCAATCGGACCCAGGGCTCCATAGATCGGGCAGTGGCCGAGTCCCCAATGGAACCCAGTCTCTGGCTCCGAGGAATCATCCCTGCCACGATCATTCGTCAAGTCCATGGGCACATTCTGGGACTAGATCAGGACACGGTCCGAAGAGGAGTATTTGAACAGCATGCAGTCTATCAGTTCGATGACTGGCAGGTGGCAGCAACAGACGGCAGTGGAGGACCTCACACGCAGGACCCGCGCATCAGAGTCTGTGGCTGGAGCGTATCCTTGTGGGCACACGACCTCACTTGGAAAGGAACCATCCAGGGAGGCATCATCGGCCCGCAGACCGTGCCGCTGGCGGAGCTCGAGGCAGTCATTGCGCTGCTGGAGTCCACCCGCGGCCGCCTCATTATCGTGATTGACTGTGCCTATGTGATCAAGGGCTTCAACAGAAGCCCACGCTTTCGGCACCCCAAGAACCAGTTCACTTGGCAGAAGTTCTGGACCCAGGCCAAAAACCGACGGGACAGCACGATCTTCTACAAAATGAAAAGCCATCCCACTGAAGAAGAAGCCGCTCGAGAGCCTCCATGGGCCCTACACCTCAATGGCCATGCCGACATACTCGCTGCGGAAGCAGCACAGTGGCGTCAAGTCCCAGGGCCCCTCGTTCGGCACCTCCAAGGCACTGATATTCACGCCGATCTCATCAGGGACAGATTGGCAGCAGTTCAGAGCCACTACTGGAGCCACAAAGACCCACTGGGCCTCGAGGGGGATGAGGATGTCAAGGAGAACCGTAGGAAAGTGAAGGTGGAGCGTAGCGTAGCAGCCTTGCAGGTTGAGCTGTCTAGGACGCCCCACTCCCTCTCTTCTGCTCCTGTCCCCCCCTTTTTTCCAGATCGCTTGCCATGTCTGTGGCAAGCAAGGTAGTGTCATCAAGGGAACACCCAGGTGGCTTAAGACCCCCTGCGCCCCCCCAGGACCGCAAAACTGTTTTAACCCATCCCACGGGCCGTTCATCAAGAAGTTGAATGGTGTCCTTTGGTGCTCCCGATGCGGAGCCTGGACCATCCGTGCAGCCAAGAAATTCAGGGAGCCCTTTGCACCACCAACAGAAGGGGGCACCAAGGCTCTCCAGAAGCTTACCCAAGGTAAGCCACCGCCAGGCCTCAAAGCCTGGCCCGATGGGCCCACATGAGGTCCATCCACGGCTGCCCCCACGCGGGGAGACCAGGACAGCTGCGGAGGCGCGAGCGCGGAGGGAGGAGAAGGAAGAGGAGAGAGGAGGGAGGAGGGAGGCTGGCAGGCCCCCCCCCCCGCAAGCACGATCGTCAGCGTCACCCGGGGGGGGGGGGGGGACGGTGGAGGTAGAGGGTGGAGGGAATAGGGAGGGAAGAGACGGAAGGGAGGGAAGGAGAGAGGGAGGGAAGGGAGGATGAAGGGAGGGAGGAGTGATGGGGGAGAAGGAGGAGGAGGAGGAGGAGGAGGGAAATGAGGAGGGGTAGGGAGGAGGAGGAGGAGCGAGAGGGAGGGACGAGTGGGAGGAGGATTAGGAAGGATGGTAGAGGGGAGGATGAGGAGGAGGATGAGGAGGAGGGGAGGGAACGGAGGAGGAAGGAGGATAGCGCGAGGAAGGAATTGAGGTAGGGAGGAATGAGTAAGTGAGGATGAACAGGAGGAGGAGGGGGAGGAGGAGGAGGAGGAGGAGGAGGAGAGAGGGAGGGAGGAGGAGGAGGGAGGAGGAAGGGTAGGATGGAAGCCCTCGCCGCCCTCCACCCGGTGTCGCGGCAGCACCCCCCCCCCCGGAGCGGCCCTAAAAGGCGCAGAGCCCAAAAAAAAAAAAAGCCCGCGGCGCGCCCGCGCCCCAGGGCGCGGGGGCGTTTGGCCCCTCGGCCCTTCGTGGGGGGGGGCGCCGGCTGTGGCCCCTCGCAGGCCGGGGCTCTGCGGTTCGTGGCGCTCTGGGCCAGGGGGGGCGGCCTCGAGTGGGTGTGATGAACCAGGGGGGGGGGGGGACTTTCGAAGGGTTGCCACAACACAACCACATGCGAACCCTCCTCCTCCTCCTCCTCCTCCTCCTCCTCCTCCTCCTCCTCCTCCTCCTCCTCCTCCTCCCATCCTCCCCTCCTCCTCCTCCTCCTCCTCCCCCCCCTCCGCCTCCTCCTCCTCCTCCTCACTCCTCCTCCTCCTACCTCCTCCTCCTCCTCCTCCTCCTCCTCCTCCTCCTCCTCCTCCTCCTCCTCCTATAGGGGACCACATGCGAACCCTACCCCTACGCCCCACGATTTCTGAGGGGGAGGGTGGGGTAGGGGGGGTAGGGTTAGGGTTCGCATGTGGCCCCCTAGAGTTGTGTCGGCCAGGGCTCCTACAGGAGGGAATCAGAGGGGGTCTGTTTTTTCCCCCGCCAGGCTTCTGCAGAGGCTATGTTGGGCCTCCAGAAATTTCCCCGCTAGGCTTTGCAAAAGCTATGCGAAAGCTATGCTTGGGGCCCTCTGAAAAAAAAAACGCCAGACGTCCCAAAAAGCTATGCAAAAGCTATGTTGGTGCTATCGCAATTCAAAAGAAAAAAAACAAATACCTTAAAGCAAATAGGGGATACATTAAGCAGCTTTGTGTTGGCCCAAGAAAGGGCCTTCTGAATCCCGCCCCCAAGGACCTGATCGTTGATATAGTTAAAGCAAAGGGGGTCAAGGGAAACTCGGCCACGCCTCGGGGCCTCGTGAAAGGGGGCAGCGGATTTCGCGACAGGGTCATTGTAAATCGATTGTGTGTAACCCCTAAACGAGCGAGCAACCATGGCCTGCTTTCTCGCCGTCCTGTGTAGAGGTGGTCGGTCCACGGCACTTGCTGCGCGTTGCTTCACTATCGTCATTCTCTTCTTCGGCTCCACCCTCTTCCTTCTCGTATTTCCCGTCATTTTTGTCATCGTGCATGCGCGCCCTCCCTCCTCCTGCTCTGGAAGAGGTTGGAGGGCGTGCATTCCCGATGAAAAGAATTATTGGGGTATGAGAAGGAAGACAGGGGCAGTAAGATAACAGCAACCCACGTGGGACAGATCATTAGATTGGCCCGTTGCCCTGACTGTGCAGTCAGATGCGTGGACACCGAAATCCAAACAGTGAGCTCGAGCCACGCGTTGAAATAGTTCGTTTAAGTTGCCCTAGAAACACAGGTGTCATATGCCCTAGGTACAGGTCGACAGCACTGTTTGGGGGCACGTAGGGATTGTTTGGGCCACGCAAGCACCGTTCGGGGGCAGAGATGTAGAAACAGGCCCAGGCACGGACAACCCAAACGAACTCAATCGCTTGATCGGGCCACCCCGAACACACTCCGAACGCAAGGCTGGCCTAACATAAGGGTACCCCAAAGACTCCGAAGCTCCATAGCCATTTTGGTTAGTTCCATGTCTTTCCATATCAAAATGATTCTTATGTTATCCATGCTAGTTTTGTTCTTTGTCACTCGTATGGTTGACAATGCTCATTGGCTTTCGGCGCTCGATGGCGTGGTTGATGAATCCCCATTGGATGACGACTGGCCTTCAGCACTGGACGGTTTGGATAGTGATCACTGCAGTGCCGAGGCTGGACAGGTGCAGGCTGACGACTGGAGAGCTCAGCTGGACGACATTTCGGTCGCCTCCGTCGATGAGGACAACATGTCGGTCGATTCCCCTCAGCTGGCTTTGGTCGAGGTCCCGAAGGTCGAGCTGCATGACATCACCAGGGTAGTTCACGTTTCCAACTGCACGCCAGACGAGGAGCTCGACGAATCGGCCAAGACGGTTGCAGAGTACTTGATGGACAACGATCCGCTCACGGGACGCTTCACTGACTCAGCGATGGCTGTCGGGGAGGCGCGCAGCAAGTGCAGGGGCACGATGAAGCTCATGTCAGCGTGTGCGCTGAAGGTCCCCACGGGTTTAGGAAACGCAGGTGGGCGCTTCGTCGTGGACCGAGCGTGGTTGGGAGGCGCTCTCGACTGAGCCACCCCCCATCTACACTCGGTCTACCACGGGCGCCCCCTCCTTTCCCGAGTCCTCAAGGTTGAGAGGAACATATGGACTCATGCTGAGAAGTTGCTGGTTGATGCATCAGCGACGTCGGATAGGCTTCAGCTCATCTTCTACGTGGAGTACGCCAGCTATGACAGCACAGACTTTTGTTTGACGAGCTCGCAGAAAGTAACCGAAACCCTCGTTGATGGACCAGCTCTTCATGGACACGATGCAGGAGATGGAGGTGAGCTTGGACAGATGCCAACCATCGAGCTTGACGAGGCGACGGTGGGCACGAAGAAGATACTACAGATGGACACGAACGTGTTGCTCCTACTCAAGACCGACGGCAGATACGCCATACTTCGTGGGAATATGCTGTCTTGGTTGCAGGCTTGCGACAGGAACTCAGCGGCGAACTACAAGACGTGTGTTTCAGACTATTCGGTTGGAGTTGCCAACGCATCTGCTTTTGGAAGACGGCTTCGCATCGTGGTGACTGATGGGTATAGTGCTAACTTGAAGGCTGAGCGCCATTTACATTCCGAGCGTGAGGGGTGGTCATTGCTTCATCTTCTTTGTCGGGTGCACACGGTTGTTGGGTT